TCTTCCAAACGAATTATCAAATTTTCTGAACAAATATTATTTAACAAATTGATAATTTGTTAAATTATCAATTAACAAAGACATTGTGGCATTGAACAACACCCTTGATGAAATGAACGTAACTGATATATATATATATATATATATATATATATATATATATATATATATATATATATATATATATATAGAGAGAGAGAGAGAGAGAGAGAGAGAGAGAGAGAGCCCTTCATCCCAAAGAAGCTACGTACACAATGATTTCAAATGCACATGGAACATTTTCAAAGATAGACCACATGATAGAACACAAAACGAGCCTCAAAAAATTCAAGAAAATTGAAATCATTCCAAACATCCTCTCTGACCACAAGGGACTGAAATTGGAAACCAACCCCAAAGAAAAAAGATAACAAAGTTCTTTTTTCATGAAGACTGAATGGTATGCTATTAAACAACAAATGGGTCAAGAATGAAATTAAGGAAGAAATCAAAACGTTTCTGGAAACAAATGGACGTGAACTCACAAAAACCCAGAACTTATGGGACACAGAGAAGGCAGTCCTGAGAGGGAAGTTTATAGCAATACAGGCCTACCTAAAAAAGATAGAAGCATTTCAAACAAACAACCTAACTCTATGCCTGCAAGAACTCGAGGAACAACATCAAAGACCGCACAGAGCAAGTAGAAGGAAGGAAATAACCAAGATTAGAGCAGAACTGAATGACATAGAAACTGAAAGCACAATTCTAAGGATCAATGAATCCAGGAGTTGGTTCTTTGAGAAGATAAAAAAAAATAAACAAGCTGTTAAGTAGGCTCATCAAGAAAAGAAGAGAGAGGACTCAAATAAACACAATCAGAAATGAAAGAGGTGAGATTACAACTGATACCACAGAAATAGAAGGGATTGTAAGAAATTACTATGCAGAACTTTATGCCAAGAAATTTGAAAACCTAGGGGAAATGGACACATTTCTAGAAAAATACAATCTTCCAAAACTCAGTGAAAAAGAAACAGAAAATCTAAATACTCCAATAACAGCAAAAGAAATTGAAGCAGTAATCAAAAAACTCCCATCACACAAAAGCCCTGAACAAGATAATTTCACAGGAGAATTCTACAAAGCAATTAAGGAAGAGCTAACCCTATTCTCCACAGATTATCTCAACAAATCCAGAAGGATGGAAAACTCCCAAATTCTTTTTATGAAGCTAGCATCATCTTAATTCCAAAACCAGATAGAGACACAACAAAGAAAGAAAACTTCAGGCCAATATTGCTGATGAACATAGATGCTAAAATCCTCAACAAAATATTGGCAAATCATATCCAACAATATATCAAAAAGATCATGCACCATGATCAAGTGGGATTCATCCCAGGGATGCAAGGATGGTTCAATATCCGCAAATCAGTAAATGTAATACATCGCATAAACAAAAGCAAAGACAAAAACCACATGATCATATCAATAGATGCGGGAAAAGCTTTCAATAAGGTACAATACCCATTTATGAAAAAAAACACTCAGCAAGGTAGGAATACAGGGAGCATTTCTCAAAATAATAAAGGCCATCTATGAGAGACCTACAGCCAATATCATACTCAATGGGAAAAAACTAAAAGCTTTTCCAATAAGATCAGGAACAAGACAAGGATATCCACTTTTACCACTCTATTCAATATAATATTGGAAGTTTTAGCCACAGCAATCAGGCAAGAAAAGGAAATAAAAGGCATCCAAATAGGAAAGGAGGAAGCAAAACTGTCACTGTTTGCAGATGACATGATAGTGCACATGGAAAATCCCATAGACTCTACCAAAAAACTGCTCAAACTAATTAATACATTTGGCAAAGCAGGCAGTTAAAAGTCAATATCCATAAATCAAAGGCATTTTGTATACCAACAATGAATCAACAGAAGCAGAAATCAAGGAAAAAATCCCATTCGATATAGCAAAAAGAAAAATAAAATATCTGGGAATAAACCTAATTAAAAAGGTAAAAACCTGTATGCAGAAAACTACACAGCACTGAAGAAAGAAATCAAGGAAGACAGAAACCAATGGAAATATGTACCTTGTTCATGGATTGGAAGAATTAACATCATCAAAATGTCCATAATACCCAAAGCAATATACACATTCAATGCAATACATATTAAAGTACCAAAGGATATTTTACAGAGATAGAACAAACACTTCAAAAATTTATATGGAACCATAAACGAACCAGAATAGCAGTTGCACTTTTGAGAAAGAAAAAGAAAGTAGGAGGGATCACAATACCTGATATCAAACTGTATTACAAGGCTACTGTAATCAAAACAGCCTGGTACTGGCATAAAAACAGGCACATAGACCAATGGAACAGAACAGAGAGCCCAGAAATCAACCCAACTCTCTACAGTCAATTAATATTTGACATAGGGGGCAGTAACATAAAATGGTATAAAGATAGCCTCTTCAACAAATGGTGTTGGGAGAACTGGACAATTACGTGCAATAAATTAAACTTGAGCACCAACTTACACCATATACCAAAATAAATTCAAGATGGATAAAAGTCTTAAATATAAGTCGTGACACCATTAAAGTCTAGAGGAGAACATCGGCAATAAAATCTCAGATATTTTAAGCAGCAACATTTTTACTGATATGTCCCCTAGAGCAAGGAATATAAAGGAAAGAATAAACAAATGGGATCTCATCAAAATAAAAAGCTTCTGTGCTGCTAAAGAAAACAGTATTAAGTTGGCAAGACAACCAATTGCATGGGAAAACATATTTGCCAATGATTCCTCAGACAAAGGTTTAATCTCCAAAATATACAAAGAACTTACACGACTCCACACTAGGAAGACATCTAACCCAATTAAAAAATGAGAAAAGGACTTGAACAGACACTTCTCCAAGGAGGACATACAGAACATCACATGAGTCACATGAAAAGATGCTCAATATTGTTAGCTATCAGAGAGATGCTAATTAAAACCACAATGAGATACCACTTTACACCAGTCAGCATGGCTATCATAACAAAGCAACAAACAACAAATGTTGGAGAGGGTGTGGGGAAAAGGGGTCCTTAGTTCACTGTTGGTGGGATTGCAGACTGGTACAACCATTATGGAAAACAGTATGGAATTTTCTCAGAAAAATAAAAATCGACCTGCCTTTTGACCCAGCAATTCCACTGCTAGGATTATATTCCAAGAATCCTAAAACATCAATTTCAAAGAACCTATGCACCACAATGTTCATAGCAGCACAATTTACAGTAGCCAAGAGTTAGCAGCAACCTAGGTGCCCATCAGTAAATGAATGGATCACAAAATTTTGGTACATGTACACAATGAAATTCTATGCAGCAGAGAGAAAGAAGGAGCTACTACCCTTTGCAACAGCATGTATGGAACTGGAAAGCATTATGCTGAGTGAAATAGGCCAGGCATTGAAAGACAAATACCATATGATCTCACATTTAACAGGAAGCTCAACAACAAAAGAAACCAGCAAACAGAATACAAACAAAGGCACTGAAATAGAGAACAAGTGGGCAATGACCAGAGGGGAGAGGGAAGGGAATTTAAGGGGAAAAATGGGGAGGAATTTTGAGAAACAAGCATGAAAGACACAGCAATGAGGACTGGGCGGGGGGAGGAAATGGGAGGGAGGTGGGGAGACGGGGCAGGGGGGGCTGGGATGGGAGAAATAGACAAAAAAACTGTACTTGAAAAATAACTAAATAAAATTTTAAAAAAAACATGGAGAGGGGTATTGTGCGCCCCCTGGTTCTTCAACAGTTAATCTTAGAACCATGTCCCTTCTCTCTCACTGTCCCTATTCAAGTGAGCATGTGACCCATGGGAGTCTGTCAGTATGTTTGTACCTGGTTATCAACCATTGAACTTGAACCCATGCACTGAGCACAACAATGTGCAACATGGAAAAAGGAACTCCATGCATGATAATGAGATACCATGAATGGTGAATGAACCTCGTTTCAGCTGACACATTCACTCAAACCTTCCCACTGAGCTAGAACAAATGTGTGTAGATGGCAGTGCCAAGTGTGTGATTTGTTCAGTTGTCATAGGAACATAATACAGGTTGGATGTGGAACTTCCATTGTCAACAATGTCTCCAAACTTCTCCCTGCTTTGTGTTGACATCAGTACAGCTCAAGGAACAGGGGCACTCACAATATTGTGGTGTGAGATGAGGATCCCTCTTAGAATCTCTCCCTGAGAAAGGACAAAAATGCACGGTGATGTCATAGACTGTGCTGGAACCTGGAACACCAATCAGGCGTTGACTTTGCTGCCACAGTGTCATCTGTGTGATGCTTGACCAGAGATAAGAACATAGAAATTACTCTTTGGCTTTCCTGTATTTACATTTTCCAAAAAACATTTCTACTGTTCAGAAATAAGGGAACATAGGACTTGAAACTTACCAGGAGACACTGCAGTTCAAATCCTCAAAGGTGACCCCAACCAATGATTCCCAGTTGAGACCTTGGTGATGCGGTGCATTCAGAGGACAAGGAGGCTCCCAGTGTGCCCACTGCACAATCAGAACAAACAACAGAGTTATTTTCAGGGGCATGTCCCATGTCTCTTCCTTGGAGTGCATCTGATCCAATTAAACCTTTCCATGAATTTCTGACATGCCCATGACAGCATCAGTCCTGGATTCAAACCCTGACTGTGTGTGAGGAAATCAGGAGGGCACTTTGTCAGCTCTTCAACTCAGCCTATATTCCCCATTTCATAGAGTTTGGGACACATTCAGGATGTGGGTCATCACACTGTGTATTTTGCCCAGTAAAGGGGTATATGCTTGGCTCTCAGACAGCTCAGTTTCATGTAGGCTGCACTTGAAGACATGTCTGTGGTCACAGTGACTCTTCCATAGAACTTCTGTGTGACCTAGGTTTTAGTATTATGAGTGCCAGTTTGTCCCATTTACTGAATCCTTTGCCCTGGTGCTTGTCACACCCAGTCTATACAGTGGTTGATGTAGGTGTATCCAGAAGCCTTGTAGGAGACCTTCACTGAGGCCCCAGTCTTCCTCACCTCAACCCCAGGCTGCAGCAGCTGCACCTGGTCATGAACACCTGTGAAGAGGAGACAGGAATGGGTTAATTTTCCCATCGAATTTCCCTGGTTCCCTCTTCAACCCAGGCACTGATGATACCCTTATCTGTAACCAGTGCCACCAGGAAGAATGGTATCCAGCTCCAGTACATGGTGAGAGGCTGTGCCTTCAGGACCTCTGCAGGGAAGGTTGCTGCTGTGGATAGAGTTCTCAGGGCACAGAAATACCCCCATGTCACTTAGTCTACCTCTTCTCATTTTCATATTCCTCAGGCAGAGTGTTACATAGCTGAAGAGTTGACCACACCTGAGAGAAGAGAGAGGACACAGGGCCATGTTTATTGGAAGATCCAGGGTCCAAATCATAATTATAGTTTTAGGATACATTTCCTCTGTCAGATCCTTGAACTCTGTGCAGACATAGCTCCTCTCTCTGAGGAACAAGCACACATAGGACATGGTCCTCATCATGAATCCACATTTGAGGGACACTTAGACCACCTGGACCAGTTCTGGATTTAGTAGTAAATACCTTTTTCCTATATCAGTGGGTCTCCCAAATGTTGCATCTGGTGAGTTAATATTTACCCTTATCACCAGTTCCTTACTATTCAGATATTAGAAAACTGTAGAAATAGCCCCATTGACTGTGGATCTCATGTGCATCAAGTGATAAATTATCTGATACCATAAGATGTTTACAGTTACCTCATGTCCAACTGTTATTATAGTTTTTTTTTTCATGAAAATGGGAGGACACAGGCCTTACAGAAAATCCCCCCAGCTCCCTCTGCACCTGCTCCTCAGACAGAAGCTCTGAGGTCATGGGTTCCTCATGACCACTGTTGTGAAGCCTGTGCCCTGCAGGAGAGGGTCCCATCTGGGCTCACAAGTCATGGGCATCTCTGTGTCTCAAGTCCATAAGTAAAGGCAAAGACATGATTTAAGGATGCTCCCTCAGGGACACCTTGTGCTTTGACATCTCTGGACGAAGAACTGGTCTTTCTAAACTCCAGTGACTCTTCAGGGACCCACATGGACAGGGCTCTTTGAAGCTACCAGGGTTTCCTTACTTGGAGATCTCAGATGCACTGACTCAGCCAACTCCCCTAAGTCCTAAAACTCTCGGGAGTTTTGGGGACTTCTGATGTCCTCAGGTTCCTGTGCTTTCAGGTCCCATCTGAGTATTCCTGAACTTTGTATGAATCCCACTGCACATCTCTAGCTTAATAAATGACACAGCTACTGTAGTAATTTTCATGGTACTGAACCCCAGATTTCCCTTCTCCACACTTTGTAGCACATGCACAGGTCCCCATATTGAGCTTAACCTAGTGAGTGACCTGCTTTGTCAACAGACCAAAAGGAAACACGATTGATGTGAAAAGTGGAGAGCATTCACTTATGTGGTTTCCTATTCTTCCAGCACCTGGAAATTGCAGAGTTCACAGTGGGAAGAACACTAAATTATCCTGCGGAGGGTCAGACCCAAGGGACCCTTGTCCAGTCACTGTAGCCAACTCTGTCCCAACGCATGGGAGAGATCTCACTGACCCACAGCCACAAGTCTCTTCTCAGGGAGCTCAGTCAGAAGACATGAAGGCAAGACCATGGGGAACGCTGGATGGGCATTTTCCTTTTAGAAGAATCAAGAGCTGTTTAAGAAAAAGGGAACACAGGGAATTGTCCCTGGCTGATCAGAGTACCTGTGGTAAAGTGACCAGGTTGCTTTTGACTTCATCCTTTGGAGTCCTGAGCAGCTCATGCAGTTTAGCCCTTTTATCTTTGCACGGGGGGGGGAGGTTGTCGGGGATCACACTCTCTTTATTTCTCTGAGTCTCTCACAGTAATGCATGGTGGTGTCTGTCTGCACATTGACAATGCTGTGAACCATCCCTTTAGATGGAGCATCTGCCTTTCATTGATGCAGCAAAATGTGACACCTGATTTTAGATTCTTTCTAAAAAGACATATTCGCTCCAGCCTTATTTTTTTGAGCCTGTAACATGGAGTTAGTATAAAGTCAGTTCATGTAAATATATAACATGTAAAGAAGAATTTCAGAGACACTGAGACACTGGAAAATCAGCAAGGACACAGCTCAGACCTGTACTCACTCCTTAAAAATAAGGCTTACTCCAAGGTCTGAGAATGACACTGGCCCAGTTCCACCCTCACACTCACAACCTTCCTATCATCATGAGGATGGGATGCAACTAGACAAGTGGGAGCAGAGAAATGCGCTGCGGGGAAGTCAGAATGTGTTAGCCCACCCCAAGGAGGGAGAACAATCGAGAAGTCCCTTGATCTACTAAAGTATCTAGAGCTAGTGGCAGAAACAAATTTCCACAAAGGTCTTTATGCCAACAAAATTCTCCAGAAGCAGCCCTTACTGATTCACAGTGATGTCTACAGTGAAGGTTTAGCGGAAAGATGAGGGGCTTCTTTTCCAGCTGAGTTAATTAATCATGAGTGCAAAGTAATGAATGACACATGGCACAGCAGAACAGGACACATGAGGCTACTATCCTTTCTGACAGCTCTGGTTGCACTAGAAAGCATAGAAATAACAAAGAACAAGACCAGATCCTACTGGGTATACATCCTAATGGCATTCCTATGGGACTCAGGTATTGAGATAGTCAAGCACTGAATTTAAAACAACTATGATTACTTCCTACAACTTAATAGGAAATTGTGGTCAGACCTCAGAATCATAAAGGTAACTGAAGGTAAGTGATGGAAACCAAAAGCAAAAATCAAATAAAGACAATGGCAACAACACTGATCCAGAAATGAATGAATCTATCCACAGGTTCCCAAGCAGACCTGTAGTCATCAGGAACTCCAGATCAAAGCCACAGTAGGAAATCACCTCACCCCCTGGCAGGTAGTTATTGTAAAAGGACAGAAAATGAAAGTGAAACAGATCAAGTGTTGGTAAGTGTGTGGGGAAAGGGAGCCCTTGCACACTCTGGATGGTAGAATCAAATTGTGCTGCCACATGGAAAACAGGATGTAGGTTCCATCTTCCCTCAAAATTTGTAAATCCTTTGTTATTGAGACATGCAGCCTCTAGGTGTTCATTCAATAATAAAACCAGGACTTAGAAGAGGTATTTTCACTGCCCTGTTCATTGCATCATGGTACACTGCAGTAAATCTGATAAAACCACCTAAGTGTCCATCAGTAAGTTAATGGGTAAACGTGGGCTGTATACTCATAACAGAGTATTAGTCACACTTAAATCAGGGGAAATCTTGCCACAAACCACAATGTAGTTGAAACTAGGTGATATTATGCTTGTGAAATAAAGCTGCAATCGAAAGACAAATTTTGAATGAGTCCACATATAATACTAATTTAAATTAGATTTTATTCCAGTAGCATGTGAAGGCACTCAAAGCCTGGGTGTGGTGAAAGGTGATTGCCAGACATGGGGGATCAGTGGAGTGTCAGCTGCCCAGGAGTTCCATGCTGGTGGTAGAGACCCAAGAATGGAGGCACCTGGAGGAGCCAGCTGCTGTCAGGACAACATCGGACTTGGTCATAAATGCCATGCATTCACAGGACCCTGGAGGCATTTGCTTTTCTGGGTGGTATTGTCCATCCCTCAGGGCCCTGCTGACAATGAAAAAACTGTCAGTTGGCACAAAGTACATGTTCCCACCTGGGAATGGGAGAAAGGAACAGAAAGCCCAGCCAATCACTGTCGTCCTGGGGGTGGCCTTCTGAACACCAGGGATGAACCTTTGTAGTCTCTGAGTCCAGCTCCTTCTACTCTGAGTGATCACTGAGACCACCTTTGCCAATGTCTGTATCAGCTATTGTTATTTGCATTGCTGGGAAGAATTCCATTTGTGGATCTTCCCAAGTTGTTTATTTTATTCTTTTAAATTTTATTAACTGATTTTAGAGAGGGGGAGGAAGTGAGAAATAGAGGGAGAAAAACATTGTGTGAGAGAGTTACATCAATCAGTGGCTTTTCATATGTCCCCAATTGGATACCTGGTCCATAATCCAAGAATGTGCCCTGAATGGAAGTCAAACCACTGACCTTTCAGTTAGCAGTCCAGCGCTCAATTTACTGAAACATACCAGCAAGAGCCCCAGTTTTTCTCATTTTTTAAAATAACATAACATTTGGGCCCTGGCTGGCATAGCTCAGCGGATTGAGCGTGGGCCTGCGAACCAGAGTATCGAAGTTCAATTCCCAGTCAGGGTACATGCCTGGGTTGCTAGGCCAGTTCCCAGCAGGGGACTCACGAGAGGCAACCATACATTAATGTTTCTCTCCCACTCTTTCTCTTTCCCATCCCCTCTCTTGAAAAATAAATAAATAAATATTAAAAAAATAAAATAACATAACATTTGGGATGTTTGTAACTTCACACAAAGAGGCTGAAATATTTGCATATATTTTTGTAGTAACATAGAAGGTCGTTCTGGAGCAAACACTCTGGGCAGACTGATGAGATACAGGTTAAGTATATATTTAATATAATAAGAAATTGATCAATTTTTTTTTGTCAAGAAAGGATAGCAGGACACAGAGGGACTTGGTGAAGGAGAGGTCCTCAGTCCATGCTGTTGTGTTTCCTGCAAATGGACTGCGTTACATTCCTGTTTATTGTCTGCACTGAAAATCTGAGAAATTAGATTCACAGCAAAGAAGAATGAAGTGTCCCTGGGTGGAGCTGAGAGCTCTGAGAGGAAATCCCTGCTCCCAAGAGGTAGCCCCTTTCTTCCTGCCCAGGCCCACAATTGCCCCTGGGTTTGTTCTCTGTGGTCTGTGGAACCTGACTGCCCCCTGAAGTCCAACCCTTTTGTCTCATGCACGAGGTTTGTTTCTGGGCTCACACTGACTTCCCCTCATTGTGTCTCGCATAGTAATACACATCTGTGTCCTCAGCTCTCAGGCTGCTCAGCTCCATGTAGGCTGTGCTGGTGGATGCATCTGCAGTTATGGTGACTCTGTCCCAGAACTTCTGTGCATACTTTGTTTCACCATCTGAAGGATCAGTTCTTCCCATCCACTCAAGCTCTTGTCCTTGGGCCTGTTGAACCCAGTGCATATAGTAGTCTGTGAAGGTGCACCCAGAAGCCTTGCAGGAGAGCTTGACTGAGGCCCCAGGCTTCCTCATCTCAGACCAAGACTGCAGAAGCTGCACCTCAGAGTGGACACCTATGGAGAGTTGGAGAGGAGGTAGCAGTGGTTGGAAATCCCCTCTGACTCTTTCTGGCCCCTTCTCAACCTATGGTCTTGGGAACCCCTTACCTGTAGCCACTGCCACTAGGAAGAAGGATCTCCAGCTCCAGTCCATGGTGAAGGGTTGTCCTCTCTAGGACTTGTATATGGGACAGTGTGGCTGTGGGTGATGCTCTCCTGGCCCAGAGAGATTCACATTTAACACAATCTACTTCTTATAATTTGCATATCCATGAGGCAGACATTTTCATAGCTGAAAACTTGACCCCACCTGACAGAAGGAGGAGGGCACAAGTGCCATGCTCAGACGGAGTCTGAGGCTCCATGACTTATCAGTGTTGCAGGATATGTGTCCCCTGCCATGTCCCTGAGATCTGTGCTGACATAGCTCCTCTCACAGAGGAACAAGTTAATACAGGACATACTCCTAATTCTGAGCCCACCTTTGAATGACAGAAAGAACACCTGAGCCAGTTCTGGACTTAAAACCTGAATGTCTTATCCCTTGATCAGTGTGTCTACAAAAGCTGCACCAAGTGAGTTAATACAACCATCTTTTCTCCTAGCTTTTTACAATTCGTGTATAAAAAAGCCCTAGAAATAACCCTTTAGTCCAGCTGTCATGTGTTATAAAATTTGGGAAATTCTCTGATAAAATAGGATATTCACAGTCAACTTATGTCTAACTCTTGTTTTAGATGGTATCATGAAAAGAGAAAGACCCAGAGCCTGAAAGTCCTTCCCCCTCCACATCCCTCTACACTTGTTCTGGGGCAACAGCCCTGAACTTGTGGGTGCTGCACGAACTCCAATGCCAATTTCAAGTCCTGCAGAAGTGGATCCTTTATGACCTATAGTGAATGGACATCTCTGCATCTCTTGTCTAAAATTAAATTAGTAACCTGGCTTTAAGATGTTCCCTCAGGGACACATTGTGCTCTTATATCTCGGCACAGAGAACTCGCCTTACTAAACTCCAGTGACCCACCAGGGAACCACCAAACCTGGGGTCTATGAAGCCACCAGAGAGCCCCTTCACTGAAGATGCCAAAAGCACTGACTCAGACAATACCACAGCCCAGAAGACCTTAGGAAGTTAGGGGGCCACTCACATACTCAGGTTTTTTTGTTTGAAAAACCCATGTGATTATCACTGTATGAGGCCCTAATCTCAATGCACATCTACTGATAAATAAATCACACACACACACACACACACACACACACACACACACACACACACACACAGAGAGTGATGATATGCAGAGAGATGAACTCCAGTGCTCCCTTCTCCCCTGTTCCTAGTCCATCATCAGGTCCCTACATTGAACTGAATCTAGTGAGTGACCTGCATTGACAACACAACACAAACATGCTATTGAAGTGAAAACTGGATAGTTCCCTTCCTTGTGGGTTTCTGTATTCCCAGCACCTGGAAACTACAGATGCCAGAGTGAAGAGGGTGCTTCTATGTCCTGGGGAGAGCCCGAGGCTTGAGCAGTCAGTGTAACCAACACAGCCAATATGTGAGGAAGGCCACGCCTACCTACAGAACACAAGTCCCCATTTTCAGAGGTCAGAGTCAAGAATCCTGAGGGCAGGATAATGGGGACACTGCACAGGCATATCGCCAGCAACACAAGCAGATTCTGAGGCAGAAACAGGGGACCCAGAAAAGCAATTTTAGTTGGTCAATCTCTTTGTTACAGTGACTGGGTTGTTTGTCATTTTGCCCCCTGGAGTCCTGAACATGGCCTGCAGTTCAGTCTTTCTGGTTTGCACAGCAAGATGTGTGACTGGGCTCACACTGACTTTATTTCTCTGAGTCTCTCACACAGCAGTGCAGGGAGGTGTACATCAGAAGACGGATAATGTTTCTAAAGGTATTGACAATCATACCTTTAGATGAAGAACTGCCTTACACAGATGCAGCATATGTCATGTGACTTTAGATTTCTAATAAGACTTATACATCCCAGTCTTCTTTTGTTGAGCCTGTAACATACAGTTTGTATAAACTTTATTAATGTAAAGCTACAACCTTTGCAGGAGAATCTTGTAGACCCTCGGGGACAAGCACAGCTAGAAGGACACAGTCCAGGCTTGGGCACATCTCTTCCTAAGAATCAGGCTCAGTCAGAGGCCTGAGAATGATGCAGGAGCAATCCCACCACCACACTCACAACCTTCCTGTCATCATGAGGGTAGGATACAGCTGGACAATCAAGAACAAAGAGGACAGAAGACGCTGACCCCACACCAAGGAGGGAGCATGAGTAAGGAGTCACAGAAAGAATTGCGTTCTTCAGATCCCATGGCAGAAAGCATCCTCCATACTTGTCTCCATGGAAACCAAAGCCTCCAAAGTGCCAGTGACCAATTCATAGAGACATACACAATGAGGGTCTAGTGGGAGAAAGAGGAAACTCATACCCCGAGTGAGTTAATTACTTGGGAGCATGAAAAAAATGACACATGGCACTACACAGCAGGACACCTGTAGCTACCACCCTTTCTTGCAGGTCTCGGTGCACCAGAAACTACAGAAATGACAAACAGCAAGATCAGAATTTTAAGGGACATGTTTTTGAATGACATTGCTATGAGACTCAGGAATCCGGACTGTCAAACAATGATTTAAAAAATCTAATAACTTGTTAGAAGCTTAACAGAATACGTAGGCAGACTTCATGATCATAAAGGTAACTGCAAGTGAGTGATGAAAACTAAAAGAGATAATCACATGGAGAAAGTGATCACAACACAGACCTGGAAATTAACAAAACTATCAACAGGCTCACTGCAGGCCCCCAGTCATCAGGAACACCAGATCAAAATCTCAGTAGGGAATGATCTCACACCTGCCAGGGTGGATTTTCCAAAAGCACAGAAAACCAATGTAAAAAAGATCATGTTGGTGAGTGTATGGGGAAGGGGATCCCTTGCACACTATGGATGGGAAAATAAAATTTAGCTACCAGTTGGGAAAGAGGATGATGGTGTCTCCAAAAAGGAAAATGAAAGTCTGCAGGTTTGGGTCAGGCAACTTCTAGTCATTCATTCAAATATTAAAAACCAGGAACTACTAATAACATTTGTATTGCCCTGTTCATTGCAGCATTATTCACTGTATTCAAAAAGTGAAAACCACCTCAGTGTTCATCAGTGGGTGAATGGATGAACGTGTGCTATATCCTCATGGCAGAGTATTACCCAGCCTTAAAACAGAGGGAATCCTGCCATGAGTCATAGTTGAAACTTGGTGATATTACCCTGTATGGAATAAAGCCATAGTGGAAATTCAAATATTCACTTATACGATGAATTTAAATTAGATTTTACTTCCAGCTGTATGTGGAGGAGCTCGTGGCCTGAGTGTGGTAAAAGGTACTTGTAGGAGACCTGGAATCAGTGAAGTGTTGGCTGCCTTGAAGCTCTTTGCCTGTGAGAGAGACTCAAAGATGGAGACTTTGGGAGGAGACAGCTGCTGTCAGCACAATATAAAACCTGGTCATGGGTGCATTCCATTCACAGGAGTCTGGGAATGTGCACAGCCATCCATCCTTCAGGGCCCTGCCGAGAATGAGAAATTGGTCAGTCTGCATAGAGTGCACATCCATTCCTAATTGGGAATGTGAGAAAAGGACAGAAAGCCCAGCAGAGCCACTGCCATGGATCGATGGCCATGTGAACACAAGGGCAGGCCCTTCTACAGTCTCTGAGCCTGGCTCCTTCTACACTGAGCGATCACTGAGACCCACATGCAATGAGGTCTCCACCTTCTGACTCTCGTTTTCATTTCTGAGTAGAATTCCATTCTTGGATGCTCCCTAGTTTCCTTACTTTAAGAACAGAAGGACCCTGGTTGGTGTGTTAGTGGATTGAGTGATGGCCTGTGAACCAAAAGGTCACTGATTTCATTCCCAGTCAGGGCACATGCCTGGGTTTCTGTCCATCCCCAGTAAGGGGCACACGAGGCAACCACACATTGATGCTTCTCTCCCTCTCTTTTTTACCCCTTCCTCTCTCTAAAAATAAATAAATAAAATCTTTAAAAATTAAAAAAATAATAGAAGGCCTTATCGGGTTTTTGTAGCCTCTAACACAATTAAGATACTATAAATATTTGCATATATTTCTTTATGAACATAGAATTTGTTCTCCTGGAACAAACAATCCTAACAGACTGCTGACATATGCATTATGTATATATTTAATTTCATAAGGATATGTAATTTACATTATTAAGAAAGAATAACAACCACACAAGGACTTGGTGAATAAGAGGTCCCCAATCACTGCTGATATCTCACCTGCAAATAAACAGTGTTACCTCCTCCCATATTTTCATCAGTAAGAATGTGAGAAATGAGATTCACAGAGAAGGAAAAGATGTCATTGGATGGAGCCGAGATCTCTGAAAGAAAATCCTTGCTTCCAAGGGGAAGCTCCTTCCGTCTCTAACAGGGGATGTTCCCTTCTAGGAGGAACCTGATCATCCACTTGTGTCCTAAGGGCTCCCTGCAGTCCAGCTCTCCCTCCTGCAGGAAGGTTTGTGTCTGGGCTCAGGTTGCCTTTCCCTCCCTGTTTGCCTTACACAATAATATATGGTTTTTTCCCCCAGGTACTTGACTGATCAGTGTTAAATAAACTTGGCTCTCCTGGTGGTGATGAGCTTGGATTTCAGCATCTAGTGGGAGTCTGTGCTCCCATCATGCCATATAGCATGGACCCACCCCAGGCTCGTGCCTAGAGACTGGTGGTTCCAGTGCACAATTTAGCTCATTAAAGAAAATTCAGAGTGAGTGGAGGTGAGAGAGACGATGTGCGAGGGCTTCACCAGTCCTGGACATAGCTCCTGCAGCTGCAGATGGGACAGGACACATGGGGACAAGGAGTGGCAGACCCTCTCCATCACGTGCAGTCACCAGCATCTCATAGACCCATGTCTGACATGTGAGACCCTTACACTTGGGATTTTCACCAGGCACAGAAGAAGACCTAGCCATCTCATGTTCTGGAGCAAAGCCCTTTTTTCCCCAATAACATATGCCCCATGAGGGGAGAGAGCTGGGAGCCCCCACAGCCCAGGGGAGATGAAGCTTGGAGGAGGGA